CTAAAAATATTATTAAATACCTTTAAAAATAACTTCTTAGACCACACACACACACAAAAGTGGGCAGCAGAGATATCGTAAGTATTGTCTGCATGCTGGCACTGACCAGAAATTATTCATTACAGGTCTGTATCAAGGGAAGTACTGCAACCAAGAGCACGGTTTAGAGAGTTGTACAGCAACGTGACACCGTCCTGACTTCCAAGTAAGCGATCAGTGCTTGCATCTAGTTGAGCGAGGACAGAAGAGGTTGGGCGCTGGGAAACTGGGTGATTCATCACCCTGAATAAGCTTTGAATCAGGTCTAAGCTGCAGGACCACATAGCAATTTGCAGTGGATCAGAAAAGCAAACTGGTTGTGTGCCATAGATAGTCTGAGAAGCGCTCTTTTAGATTTATGTGAAAGTTCTCAGCCACATTTCACAAAGATAAAATTCCTTGTACCCAATAAACAGCACAATCCATGGAAGATCTGTACGGGGAAAATAATTCATTTTGTCCTTTTAGGAACTATCCGAAGGGGACACAGTTCCTTCCTATTCGCGGGGCAGCTCAACAGGGGGGTGGAGGTAAAGCTGGCACAGAGGAAGGAAAGAGGGTGCCCTGTAACCTGCATCCATGCTTTCTCCACAAGTCCACCCAGCCGGCTGGAGTGGCAACGAGCTGTGACACCACATCTGCCCACAGTCACAGCCCTCTCCAAATCCCTACTGCCCAGAGGCAGAGGCCTTCCCGGAAGTAGCTCAGTGGGATAGCAGTTGCTTCGCAAAGTCTTGGGTTCAATCTCCAGCATCTGCCGCCAAAGTCTTCAATGTGGCTGCAATCTATACATCTATCTATACTATAGCAGAAAAACACAGGGCTTGAGATGAGGAGGAAACTAGAAACCTGGATGCTGACACGTCCCCGATCCAACAGCAGTGACTAATCAAGAGCTACATCCCACTTGCGAATGGATGTGTAGGGAACCCAGCGGCGGGCTCTAACTAGGCACAGAGATTCATTCGGTGTCACTCCACCTGTGCTGATAACAGAAGCAGGTCGTTTCTGAGTCCCTGCCACACTCTGGCTGTTCAGAAGCTGCTGTCTCCCAAGAGCTCCAGGACAGCCAGGGACAGTCACCCGACCCAAAGGCAGGCAGCGTGGCTGGCCAGCAGGCTACTTTGGCCCAAGACTTCGTCAGATGAACTGAGGGGCTTGTGGTGGGCACTGGGTCTGGAAGACGAGCGCTAGGGAGCAGAAGTAGCTATTTGTAAGCAGAGGAACTGAGTCTACAAAGAGAAGAGGATGGGGCACACGTGCAAGGAAAAGCACAGCTTAAGAAGCGATTTAGCTCCTCCGAGAGCAGTTGATTGCCTGGAGATCTAGGTAGTATCCCTTTGCGGTCTTGTATTAGTATTCTCCAGACACAACCAACAGGATGTACACAGATATGTGAGAGATTTATTGGGAGGATTGGCTCACGATTGGGGGGTCTGAGAAGCCACAAGGCAGGGGCTATAAGCTGGACAGCCCATGATGCTAGTAGCGTACGTAGTTCAGTCCAAATCTGAAAGCCCACGGCCTGGGGACTTAGCTCAGTGGCAAAAGCGCCTGCCTGGCAAGCGCAAGGTCATGAGTTCAATTCCTGGTGCCAGTGCCGGGTGTGTGGGGCAGGTGGGATCTGGGAACTGAAAGCCCCTGGAGCAGGAAGCTGAGGGAGTGAAGACCGCATAGAGCTGCAGTTCAAGGACCGCGAAGCCTGGGGTTCTGACAGTCTGAGAGAAAGAGCGTGTCCCAGACCCCACAGACTTCTCTTTTCTAGTTTTGTTCTCCCCAGAAGTCACTGATGGAATGGGGCGCTCTTGAAGAGGGCAGCTCTTTCTGCTTTGGTCTATGCAGACTCATGTTGATGATACCCTGTGAGGACCAGGCCGATCCCCAGAACATGCTGTACCAGGTTTCTAGGTATTCCTTCACCCATCCATCGACACCTAAAAGGAACCATCACGACGGGGACTCCTGTAACTAGAATGTGGGGGCTAAGTGCTGCTGGAATGACTAGGTAATTATGGAAGATCACCAAGTGCTCGGGAACAGCTGAATGAAGCAACCTGTGTCTAAATACCCTGCCTGGCCCAGCATACAGGAATACACGTGACAGCACAGGGAAGGTGAGCGGAAGCAAAGCTGTGCTGTGGTAAGGAACGACACCAGAGTGTACCTCAAACCCAAAGGAAAAAGTGACAAGAAAAAAGGGCTAATCAGGTTGATAAACAAACACCACAAACATACAACATGTACTTGTTCTTTTCCTCTCGGCTTCTTTAAAATACATTAAAATTACATACAGTAATAACAACCTATTTTGGGGTTTATAACATAAAGATGCAATTATGTATAATACTAGTACCAAAGGGGGAAGAGGAACTAGAGCTTTTTAGTTTTTTTGTTTGTTTGTTTGCTTTTTTTTTCTTCCGGTACCAGGAATCAAATTCACGACCTTCTGCTTGCTAAGCAGGCACTTTGCCGCTGAGCTAAATCCCCAGGCCCCCTTAGAACAGTTACTGTATCTTATTATAAATCTGAAGCAGATTCTGATTTGTCAGATGTATTTGCCAATCCCTAGAGTAACCACTGAAAAATAGCCTCAAAACCATAATTAGCCCCAAGATGAATGTATTCATTATATATCACAAACATGTACTAAATAATAATTTAAAAAACCTTGAGACAGTCCCAAGCAGGATCACCTCATGGAGACTAAACTGTCCCCTCAAGCCATAGGGACTTCTTCAGAGGTACCTTGCAAAACCAGAACTGCGCAAGGTCCTGAGTTCGATTCCTACTACAAAACAAAAAAAAACAGAACTGAGCTGATGATCAACCAGTCCTGAGCTCACCTCAGCCACTCCATCCAAACTAGCCTCGTTTCTGTAAGGCGCCAGTCTTATCTCTTCCGTCAGGGCTGTGCCCCTTTCGGCTCTCAGGCTGAATTCCCTTCCATTTTCTCTTACTTTCTAACCCTAACTAATCAATCAGTCTATGCCTCTCACAAATAATAAAAAAGAGGGGTGAGGAGTGTAGTGTAGAGTGGTAGAGAGTTTGCTTAACATCCACAGGGCCTGGTTTGATCCAATATGCGCACGCGCACACACACAATGTCCAACAAATACATGAAAATATGCTCAACAGGGGGCTGGGGATTTAGCTCAGCGGCAAAGTGCCTGCCTGGCAAGCACAAGCTCGTGAGTTCGGTTCCTGGTACTGGAGAAAAACCAAAAAAAAAAAAAAATATATATGCTCAACATTATTAGCTATGACGGAAATGCAAACCAAAACCACAAAGTTCCCACTTTACACCCACTGGGATGGCTGTAATAAAGAAGAGCCAGGCAAGCTGGCACCTGCCTGGAACCGTGTAACTGCAGTTATCCAGAAGGCTGACCAGGAGCGGGAGGGGTCCAAGAGCAAGGCTCACCGGGGCAAGTTAGGGAGTTTGTCCCAACAGGGAAGGTGGTAGGGGCTGGGATCCAGCTCAGTGGTGCAGCACCCCTGGGTCCCATGCCCAGCATTAAGGAAAAAAAAAAAAAAAAAAAGGAGGGAGGGAGGAGAGGGAGGAAGAAGAAAAAGATAACGTTGATGAGGGCGTGGAGAATTTGGAAGCCCCACACTCTGTTGGAAGAATTATAAAACAATAATACAGTTGCTCTGAAGACAGGCAGTTCCTCCAAAAGGAGAAGAGTTATTATATGGTTCTGCGTTTCTACTCCCAGTTATATGCTCGGGAGAAATGAAAAAACGTATGTCCACACAAAAACTCACACACTAAATAAAAGGGAGTAAGGCTACAACACAAATGAGGCTACAACAGATGTGCATCTTGAAACTGTGAGGCTATGTGAGTACAAATGTAGACCACTGGCTGCCCAAAGCAGCGGAGGATGAGGTGGCTGGAAGGGACAGCCAAAGGGCACGGGGCTCCTTCAGGCGGTGATGACCGTGACCCTGATGGGAGGCAGTGCTGTGATGTGCTCAAACCACTGAATCGTCCACTGTAAATGGGTGAGTGTATGTCCTGTGAGTTACACTTCAATAAAGTTATTTAAAAGTCCATACTCGAATAAAAGACAACTTAAAATTCTGAAAATTTTTATTATGATAAAGTAAAACAAGTCAATTAAGCAGGAAATAATTTCATTCTTGATCAAAGTATACTGCATGTTACAAAATCTGAAACTAGTTTATAATCCAACTCCTTTAAAGGATTTATGGTCACTGAAATTAAGTTTTATGCTGGGCATGGTGGCGCATGCCTGTAATCCTAGCATTCGGGAGGCTGAGACAGGAGGTTCACCACGAGCTTGGGCCTGCCTAGGCTACAAAAAGTGAATTCAAGGCCAGCCTGAACTGCATAGTGAAACCCTGTCTCAAAAAGTGAAAATAAATAAATAATTTAAAAAAGAAATTAAGTTTTATACTTCTGCAAAGATTTAATTTTTGTTATAGGAGAGAAATATTTAATCTAAATACACACTGTATAGATGTTACTTAGAGGGCAGTGAGCGTAACAGTAGCTGTATGCACCTTTGTTAAACAGGTGTACAAAGCTATTATCTTAAAATATGAAAGGCAGTTCAGGAGAAATTTCAAACTTTATACTTGGAATGCATGTTTCTTTCTGATACCACTATTCTACTAAGTAAATACAGTGGTCATGAGTTAAATGTATCACTTACAGAACTGCATGAAGGACTACATATGCCAAGATTAAGACATTATGCATGATTTTTTTTGTTTGTCTATTTGAGACAGGGTCTCACTATGCAGTTCAGGCTGGCCTAGAGCTCACTTTGTAGCCCAGGCTGGTCTCGAACTCTCACTGATCCTCCTGCCTCAGCCTCCCGAGTGCCGGGATTACAGGTGTGCGCCACCACGGTCGGCCTCTAAGACATTCCACGTTCTAAGAGACTTAAAAACAAAAATGATTCAAAGACACCTTTATACCAAATTTCAACAAATTTGGTTGCAGAAGGTCCTTTTTATTATAGAAAACATAAAAGCATGCTTAGAAACTTTAGTAGACAAAAAAAATAGTTGAGCCATATATATTCCTTTGCAATTTTCCTATCTAATTTTTTACAGTATTAATCCTACACATATAAAAACTTAGGAAATGGCTTGATTTTACTCACAACTTTCAGAGCCATAATTTTAATACATATTGAGATCTAAGACTATTCGCAGATTGCAATAATCAAGACTGTATTTTAAAAATTGGATAAGAGAATATACTGAGATGTTAATTAGGAAGCAGTTATTTGCTTTATAAAAGATACTTAAATATACAGAATAATTATAATTGGTAACACAGTCCTTTAAATATTCATGCATTAAAAATAAATTTAGCAAAAAAGCAACTTACATAAAACATTTAAAAACACCAATCAACTGAAAATAAGCACTATTTTTAGCCACAAAAAGCCTGAAAATCTTCTAACAGCTCAAAAACACAAGGGGCCTAAAACAACTGATTTCTTGGAGACAAAATAATAAGGTAAGTTACTGAAGAAATTATTTTGAAGCATTTTTTCCAGGGGCAAGTTGTACCACTCACTGGTGGACTTCTATTTCTGCGACTCTCTGAATCAAAGTGGACTGTATGGAAGAGTGTCACAACACCGCAAGCGGCAATTTCAATTAGTGTCCTTGAAAAAAATGCTGCCTACATATACTAAAAGTAATGAAGAAAAAGTGCTCACGGAGAATACACTCCTTCAGTTGCAAAACTCTACCAGCTGAACAGAAGTACCAAGATACTGAGCCAAAGTTAGAAAAATATAAGCCAGCAGAGTCAATTTATATACGTTAGCAAACAAGTTTTATTTTCACACTGTTTGGCATTTGGGAAGCTAAGTACACTAGGAAGCCAGACACCTTAACACGGATTTGCTCATCACCGAGCCGAGGTCAACAGTGGCAACAGCTGAGGGAGGATGTTTTCAGAAACTGTCTTGCAGGGCTGGGGACTGAACCCAGGCCCGCACGCAGGCCAGGCAAAGGCTCCATCACCGGGCTGTGCCCTCACACCACTCTACTAACGTTTTCTTAGGGAAAAGAAGATGGGAGAGAATGTTTTTGGGAAAACAAAAAGTAAATCTAGAATAAAGAAGTGAAGGCACTTAATGCAATGGCTTGCAATATCAAGGAGAAAGCATGGTTTGTCAAGAGAGTCCTTCTACCCAAAGCTAATGAACATTGCTCCTTTAATGGATATTTATTATCATACACAACTGTAAATGACCAAATGTAATGACTTGCAGCTCATTTGTTACTCTACAAATAAGGAAATAAATGCTTCCAAGTCAGTTTTCCAGTACAGTACTATTGTTTTAGCTACAGTTAACACAGAAGCAAATAAGCTTGTCTCTCAATCAAATATTATCTCCTTTTAGAAAGCTTGCTTTTCTCTTTCAATTGATACAGAATGAAAGCTCATTACAGTACTGAAAAAATTCAACTAAGAATTTCTCCAGATCCACTGTAAGGAGTTGACAGAAGCAAAATCAACATACTAATATGACAAACAAAACATAACAACTAAAACTAATTCAGCACGTGATCATAGCCAATAAAAATTTAATTAAATATTTCACACTACATAGAAAGTAGGTTGTTCTATTTCTCTTCAAAATATGCAAGATGACTTTTCAATTACATTTTTTACATGCTCTAATCACAAGCACTACATGTGACAATTCACGCCGTACTTAGGTAGCGATGGTAGTATTTTCATAGTTTGATGCTAAACAGAAGTGAGTCACTACTAGGATGCACACAGTCACCTGAAGTGCACGGCCTGCCACTGTCTGAATACAATGAATGCAACTACCCAAGAGTGACATGAAACAAATGCATCAGACATACGCACCATCAAACAGTTCTTAAGCTCCAAAGCAGCAAAGCATCCTAGAGTTACCCTAAGAATAAATGAACTTTAAATATATGTATGTCAGAAAATAAAAACAATGGGAAGATATTCCCTCCTAATGGAGTAATTTAGAGTTCCAAAAATGCTATTTTTACAGTACTCTAACAAGTAAAGTTTGAAAACCTGTTCACTGAACAGGTATATAAGGCAAAACTAATCATGTATATCATCTTATTAAAATGATACATCTAAAGCTATATCTATCCTGACTCTCTTTCAAAGGCCAAATTAGTTGTTTTAGAATTCTTTTCACAAATGATTACAAATACTTAAACACAGCACTTACAGCGTGAAACTGTGTTTTGAAGGTTTTGCTTTTTTTTTGATATGCGAAATTGAACTCAGAACCGTAATCTGCCAGGCAGGCATGCTGTGCCGCTGAGCTATAACCCTGGCCCTTGAAGTTATCTTATTATTTTTTTCTGGATGTTCAAAATCCTATAACAGATTCATGAATAATATCATTTGTATTTCAGAGTAAGTGTATCTATATGCAGAGGTATGTTTAACAGCATCTACATATACCTTAGAAACTGGTGTACACCATAATGTACATATCCTTAATTGAACAAAGTTTTAATTTTTTACTTAATATTTCCATGAACAACATTCTTTAAAATGTCTATTTAAATATATATTTTATATATAAGTAACAAGAGTTACTGTTTTACTATGATTAAGTTACTATCAAATTAATGGGTATAAGTGAAAAAGATAATCACTTAGTAGACTGACATAAAATAATAAAATTCAATAACCTGCACTATGTAGTACTCAGAAAGGGCTCACTTTTATAAGCAGCAGATGAGAGCAGTAGCATGGAAAGTTGTGGCTATACCTTCATATATAGCCTTGAAATATTTTCTATAATTCTAATTTAAATGTCACAGATTTTCAACTAACATTTAAATTAGTTTTTTACTGTAAAATTTCAGTTCACTGAACACCTTCTGCAACCCGCTTGAAGAATAATCTTTCCTTTTATTATATAATTAGATCACACTATGTATTTATTAAAACTATGTTTGAGAAATATACTGAGCCTGAACACATTCAAATTCAAGATCGGTATTACAGCATGAAGACATATGAGCGAACACCGAAATAACTGACCCCTTAAGGAAGAGCCTGCCTGGAACATGGCCGTGACAGATGTGACACTTTACTCAAGGACAGTAAGGCCTGATGGTCCGTTTCTCACAAAGCACTGAGCCCAGTGCACAGCAGGGGAAGGAGCAGCAGCATCTCAAGTGGCCACAGTTCGATCTGTGTCCAACACCAGACAGGTAGAAGAAAACCACGTTTTAGGTCAGGTACAGTAAGTCTTTGAAATGGAGGCTGTTATTCTTCAAGACTGGAAGGATATCACAGTGTTAATTTTATATACAAAGTAGGATCGGTTCCAGTATACTCTAGTGAAATAATTCACATATGGAGAATAGTTAATTTTGACCTCGTGACAAAATCGCCCATATTTTGAGTAGGTTAACTTGTCACCTTCTTCACAAACCACCTATCAAAAAATAAGAAGTACAATATTAAAAAGCTTATTAATCTATACACAAGTGGTTGTATTTATATTGCCAAACACAAACTACAAAACACCTCACATGAACTCTTCAAAGGTGATTCACCACACCCACTAAACTCCAAAACTCAGCAGTGACAAACCACTATAAAGTATATCCAATTTTTAAAATATTTAATCCTAAAATGTAGGAAGCACTGTTTTCATACTTCGTTATGATTATTCTGAGGAACTATATACAGAGCCTACCAAGGCTGAGAAACGAACACATTATATTCCTACCGTATAGTCAAACTCTTTTCATGCAGAACCTCCTCCTGACTCATAATTATCTAGTGTACAGACTTACTTAATGCAAATTCCTACATCCTTACCTCATATTCACTAAGATGGCTTAGCTTGTTTGAAAGGTTTCTATTTTTTTCATAATAAATGCTAAAGGGCTGGAAATACAGCTCAGTAGCACAGCGCCTGCGTGGCAAGTGCAAGGTCCTGAGTTTGATTCCTGATACCAAAAGAAAAAAGTAAATAAATGCTAAGTATTATTCTAATGCATTATGAAAATGCCACAGAGCCAACTTTAAGAGTAAAAGGAGGGATTATCTTAAGTCTATGCCTGGCATTACATGAAAGAAGTGGTCAAAAAAAAAAAGCCAGGCGTAAGTGGTGCACACCTACATGTAATTCCAGCACTCGAGAGGCTGAGGCACCAGGATCGTTGTGAGTTTGAGACCAGCCTGGGTTACAAAGTGAGCTCACAGGGTTGCCCGTGAACTCACTATGTAGTCCAGGCTGGCCTCAAACTTGTGGTAATTGTCCAACCCTGTCTCAAAAAACAAACAATCAAAAAGTACCAAGACAGAGAATTCAAAATATATGCAGCATAAAACGATAAATTTATATCACAATCTTAAGGAGACATAAAGAAAAAAAAGATGGCAATTTCTAAAACTAATTTCTTATATGCAAGATGGTGTTAGATGATAAAATACAGAACTATGACTATTTATGAATGGACAAAAATTTTGGCTGTAACCTAAACAGAATATGCACCACCACTCAGAATGATGCACCATACCTCCCCCTACCTCTTCTTTGGGTACCGAGAATCGAACTCAGGACCTTGCACTTGCCAGGCAGGTGCTGTGCCACTGAGCTCTATCCCCAGCCCATACACGATTCCTAATACCTCCCACTCCCAATCTTCTCAGGAGTAAAGGCGTCCACTTTAGAGAACACTAACTAAAGACACACAAACTCTCCTGTTAGTCTTGTTACCAGATGCACAGACATAGATCCACTGCCGGCTAAGGAGACTGAAACTGACGTAGAAATTAAGGTCCAACTAAACCCTGACAGCTAGGTAGCTCTGAATACACTAATTTTTGTGGATAACAAAGGCTCACTGCACAGACACTGTGCTACTTTAGTAAGCATTTCTTCTAGATGTGAATCAAATTAAACTCAATCACTCAACATAAGAATATGACAAGTCAACTAGCTACTTTTCAGATTGTTTTAGTAAGCTCATTCAAATCAAATTATGACACCTTTTGTTTATAAATGTTCACACATACACAAGTACAGGTAATAAATTAGGAATTCAGGCATTAGTAGAACAACTTCTTTTGCAACAATGCCACAACGCCTTCTTTTGTGGTTGTTTTTGTTTTTTTGAGACAGGGTCTTGCTTTGTAATCAGGCTGGCCTTCTCACCTTAAACTGCGTAGCCCAGGCTGCCCTCAAATTCCTGATGATCCTGTTCCCTCAGCTTCACGAGTGCTGGGATTATAGGCATGCACCAGCACACCTGGCAACAATGCCTTCTTTTTTTTTTTTTTTTTTTTTATTGTTTTGAGACAGGGTTTCGCTATGGCTCAGGCTGCCCATGACCTCACTGTGTAGTCCAGGCTGGCCTCAAACTTATGGCAATCCACCAACCTCAGCCTCCCTGAGTGCTGGGATTATAGTGTGCAGCACCGCACCAGTCAACACTGCCTCCTTTTTTCTGGTACTGTGAATGGAACTCAACCTTGTGCTTGCTAGACAAGGGCTGTGCAGCTGAGCTACATCCGCAGCCCACAATGCCTTCTTGCACACTGACAAAATTACTATTTTTATAAGCTACTCTATTATTATATAAATCAATTACATTCTTAGTTAAGTTCCAAAAGTAAAGCTTGAAGATTATCAGTTGAATTAATGGCTACTTACGTGACCATTTGCAACGTCTAGTAAGTCTTTAACCCTACAGCCCCGCATGGTCCCCACCTCATTGCAGATAGCATCTTCTACTATCAGGTAGTTAGCCTTGTAGGACGTCAGTATTTTATAAATATCCTCAGCAGACCGCTTTGAGTAGATCTGATAAATCTGAAACAATAAAATTAAAACTGATTTTAAAAGACACTGAAAGCTTATGTTAATCACACCTATCCACTAACCATCTGCATTCTCAGTACTAAGCATTCCATGTGGAAAGTAAAGATATTTATTAAGACTTGGTTTCTGCTCCCAAGAAGCTTATATTCATGTTTTATAATGATCACATTTAATATAAATACATCAGCAAAAAATAATGTGGCATGGTTGGGAATGGTGGCTTCGGCCTAAAATCCCTGTGCTCAGATGGCTAAGCCAAGTGCGTGCCAAGTTTGAGGCTGCCTGGATTGATTTGAAGACCGGCCTGACTATACAAGACTCTGTCTCAGAAAACAGCCACAGAAAGAAAGGAAGGGAAGGAAGGAAAAGAAAGAAAGAGAGAAAGAAAGAAAGAAAAAGAGAAAAATAAAAAGAGAAAAAAGCAAAGAACTAGAATATGGTATGCAATTAGAAAACAACCACATAGAAGCGTGTAACGTTCCTTACATGTGAACTGAGCACAGCAAATGTTAAAAGCTGTTTGGCGACGCTAACATGAGCAGGTAGAGTATTCTGTTTAAACATTTACTGTGGATTTAAGCCAGATACAGAAAAACAAGTACCACATGTTCTCACATGTGAAAGCTAAAAACAGCTGACCTAAAATATAGTAAGAGGGAGAGAGGGCGGAAAAGCGTGGGTGGATCTCACAAGTGGACACTATGCCCGTGTACGGAAATATACGTGGGATTCTGCATGTGCCATTAAGCGCGTTAATACATTGAAGTGTTAACTGTCATCTTTGATCTTTATGTAGTGAATAAAAAGTGTACTATAGAAGAGCCTAAAGATAAAGATCACGTCTGGTCAGGAATAGATTTTCCAAGTTTATTTACATGAGAATATTTAAGCTTCCTAAGGTTGGCCTCAGTATGTTCCACAGAACTGTAAGAACTTGAAAGAAAGTTTCTGAGGGGAAACTACTAACTTACTTGGGCTGAAATATATAAAAAGCAAAGATATATGAGGTGTGATCAAAACATACAGTAAATGTTTAAATCTCTTAGAAGATTCACTGTAAGGTACATTGCTATTAATTTCGCTTGAATTACTTCCCCTCAACTTAACACACTTATCCCCTCCTTCTTGTCGCTTTCTGAAGCAGTTCTGGAAGTCCTCTGAGCCCCGAGCTGTGCTGTCATGGCACTCCTGAGGTCCAGAATCAACTCAGAACAGTTACCTTTCATGGTCATCGTGACTGTGGGGAAGAGCCGGAAGCCCCAGGGGCCAGACCTGGTGAGTAAGGCAGGTGAGGACGCACTGTCGCGTCTCCACGAGCTTGCCTCGCCGCTGCACAGCACTAGGCAGCAGCTCTCACTGTACTTCTGACCACATCTCATACAGATGCTCAGGAGAGGCCTCCAGAGCCGCTTCAGAAAGAGGCAGGAAGGGCAGGACAGGACGTGTGTGTGACGTGTCGGGGAGTACCACAAGGGCGACTAGTGGCAAAGTGTCTCTTACTGCAATACATTCTAAAAATTTAAACATACACCGTATTTTTTGATCCACCTTTGTCATCTGTATGTTAAGACCGTTTCTCATGATTATAACATTTAAGATACACCACTGTAGTATGAGAGAAAACTAAATGAGCAATAATTGAGGCAAGCTTAGCAACCACTGACATCTAAAGAGATGGCTTCATCTCTTTTTTTTTTTTTCAGTACTAGGGATTGAACCCAAGGCCTCATGCCTTACCACTGAGCTATATCTGCAGTCCTTTTTAAATTTTTAGACACAGTCTTACAAAGTTGCCTGTGCTGGCCTTGAACTTACAATCCTCCTGCCTCAGTAGGGATTACAGGTGTGTGCCACTGCACCTGGCAAACAGGTACTTTTTTTTTTTGGTCTTTTTGAGACAGAGTCTCGGCTACACAGTTCAGGCTGGCCTTGAGCTCACTTTGTAGTGCAGGCTGGTCTCGAACTCGCAACGATTCTTCTGCCCCAGCCTCCCGAGGTGCTAGGATTACAGGCATGAGCCACCACACCCGGTAAGAGGTGGACTTCTTAAAGCACGGTCTGTTGAACACATCGCCGAGGATGTGTCAAGGCATGTTCTGCGGGCTATTATGTTTTCCCACCTGTGACTGATGGAAGCAGGGACCTTAGCAGTATGCAGTGTATATAACAATAGATTTGAAAGCTGCCAGGCATATAGCACATGTTCAATGAAATATCTCTGGGCTTATTTGTTCCTACATGACAAGTCTCGTCAAGTTTCCTATTAAAATCTTATTAATAAACTACACTTGAGATATTCGTACTCCAACATTTTCTCCTGAAAAAAAATAATAAATTCTAAATACACTCCAGATTTAAACTTTCGCAATGTGGTTTCTTAAATTAGACATGGGACCACAAAAAGGACATTTGTGGAAAAAACTGATAAAATCCAAATAAAGTCCAAGTTTAGTTAACTGTATTGCACCAATGCTAATTTCCCAGATTTAACAAATGTGCCAGAGTTACGTAAGACACTGGTGTTAAAGGACAGCTTGGTGAAGGGCAACAGGAACTCTGTAGTACTAGTATTTGCAATCTCTCTTTTCTCTTTTTGGTACTAGCAGTCGAACTGAGGATCTCACGCTTGCCAGGCAGTCCTGCACCACTGAGCTAAATTCCTGATCAAACCTAAAACTTTTCCAAAATTAAAAGTTGATTCTATAGCTTCCTTTTCTTTCTTTCTTTTTTTTTTTTCAGGCAGTGTTACTATATAATGCAGGCTGGTCTTGAACTCACCTCAATCCTCCTGCCTCAGCCTCCCCAGTGCTGGGATTATAGGCGTATGCCACCACACCATGCTTAAAAGTTGATTTTAAAAATTCCTAATTATTTAGATTTCTACTTTATGTTTACAAGCAACAAGGCAAGAGGTAAGAGATGTCTGTGTCAGAATTAGGTCTGGTCTGTTAAGATTTTTTTTTTTTTGGAGTACTGAGGATCAAATCCAGGGCCTCACACACGCAAGGCAACAACTTCACCAACACTTTTAGTATCACACATCTTTTGTCCTGAAAATGCAGACTTGAAATCTGGCCTAAACAGGATTGTAAGCTACTTGAAGAATACTCAGTAGCTCTGTGTCACAAGTCATGGGTAATGGCTCTCTAGCAGCTTCTGGTTCAATATCCACTGACAGAGGTGCCAAAAGAGAAGCGCTCCATCGCTACCCTGTGCCAAGTAAGTTTCCAGGGGAATGGCTCTCTCTTATCCAGCCTGTATCTACTGATAGTTGTTTATATACACTTTTGTTTTTAAGTTTCAGGAAAGTGTAACAAACTGAGCATTGAAAACATTTCTGTGCAACGGCAATGACATGACTGCCAGCCCAGGGCAGCTTCTCCAGCTCAGCAGCAATGACACTGAGGCCAGGCGGCTCTGCTGGGGCTGAACAGAGACCGCTCCAGGCACCGCAGGAGGTGTTCCAGGACGTTCGGTCTCCACCCCAGGTGCCTAGAGAACCCTCCGGCACTGCGCCAACCATACTGTCTCCGCAGCAGCCAAATGTCACTGGGCACATAACCATCCCACGCTGCAAATCACTGGCAGAGGAGATTAGGCAAAGACAAGTCATGTATCATAAACTGGAGACAGCGCCTAAATGATATAGTCTTATTCCTGGAATTCTGTTTGGATTTTAATAGAATAAATTTATTTGGTATTTGCTATGTACTAGACACCACAGAGAAAGATAAAGGTTTAGGAAGAAACATATTTGCTGTTTTCAGAGTCATGGTTACTACTTCCATACAACTGAAAACTAGCCAGGCATGGTGGCACACGCACTCGGGAGGCTGAGGCAGGAGGATTACTGCAAGTTCAAGGCCAGCCTGGGCTACAAAGTGAGCTCAAGATCAGCCTAAACTGCATAGCAAGACCCTGTCTCAAAAAGATAAAAACAAAACAAAAAAACAAAAAAACCTGAAAACTCTAGAACATTTAAATTATTCAGAACTTTACTAGGACTCTGACCTAATTATAAGTGATTCTGAAATTCCGTTCTAGGAAAAAGTCCTATCAAAGGAAACAGGCTGAGGCAGGAAGATTATCCCAAGTTTTGAGGCCACCTTGGGCCTAATAAGTTGAAGCCCAGCCTGAACTACATAGCAAGACCCTGGCTCAAAGAAAAGAAAGAAAAGAAAAAAAAAAAGGAAAAGAAAGTGATAGAGTTACTTGTTTTAAATCCATAAAGAATAAAAGTTCAGGAGTAAGCTGTCTGTATTCTCCGTGAGCAACGTCCCTTTGAGGCACTGCAAACACTGAGATTGAGCCGGCTGCTCTCTCCCAGGCAGGTCACCCTGAGGTAGATCTCCCAGCTCTTATCTCTCCCAGGCCGGCTTCCATCTGCTCTCTCTGCTGTGACCATAATGAACTCTCTAAAACAGATCTAATCACTCCACTGCCAGGTTTATGGAAGGTCTTTGTCTCCAACTTCCTCAAGGACAACTCTAAATCCTGCAGCATGACACTGCAGGTCCTTCGGAATTTGGCCTCTGTTTTATTTTCCAGTTTTGTGGCCATACACATTTCTTGTCTTTGTCTAACTTTTTTCAGCCTAGAATCATAGGCATTCCTTTACCAAACAAATTTCTAATCAGTTTTCAAGACTCACATCAAGGGGAATGACCTTTATGACGACTTCTTAGATTTCTGTAGCAGAACTGGCTGCGCTGGCTTTCGGCCTCCTGTGTATCTGTGCACATGTATATGCATGTATATACAATCATCATTTAATAGTGTAATAAAACACCGTAACAACTAACTTTAAATTTTACTGTGTTTTAAGCACAGCACCTTATCTCATTTAATCGTCCCAAGCAGGAGGGAAGAACTATTATTATTATTTACAGTAACTTATTCAAGATCTCAAAGCTAGGATGTGGCAGAATTAGAGTTTGAGTCCAGATGCTCTAACTCCAGAGTCGGCCTGCTTAACCTTGTTAGTACTGAAGGATTAATAAGAGCCCAATCACGAAATATCCACAACATTAAAATAAACACAATCTCAGCTTGGGCAGCCACAGCGAACCAACACTTTAGCTACAGCCTTCCTTCCCGCAACAATGAGAATCACAGTATTTTCAAAGCAAGCTTCCCTTTTAAAATATTACACCTCAGTTCCCCAGATACTTGGTGGAAAAGTAAATGTTTTCCCTAGAAACACATCAGTACTGTTCGTGAAACACAGAACTTACTAGTTTACCTTTGGGTTTCCCCTTGGTTAAATGTATTACACATCTTTTAAAAATTAAAGCTAATTAGCTCTTCTAGAATTGCTTAGGTTGTTTATGGCATATTTAGGCCATAACAACCCGAATACGCTGATCTTGTCTAAAATTGTTTGGCTTTTCTTAGATAAGTAGGAACATATACATCACTGCAGAACTATACTAAAATAAATACTGCTGTGAAAGAACCAAACGTAGGGTGTAAAATGCCTTACATTTTCATTCCTCTTCAGAAGATCATCATCGTTATAGAGAGGCAAGCTTGTCACCATCCAGCCAGTGCACAGTTTAATGGCACCCATTAACTGCGGACTCCCCGCAAACACAGCTGCAACCGGAGCTTGTCTTCTGCAAGAGCCCAGCAAATCATACAATGAAAAAGTAGCGTGCAATTCAGATCACTAATTTATATCAACTCTGAAACACCAGACAACTGACAATGTAAAACACACTTAAATTTCTTTTTTTTGGTACCAGGAATCGAACTCAGGACCTTGCGCTTGCCAGGCAGGCGTTTATGCCGCTGAGCTATCTCCCTGGCCCTACACTTAAATTTCAACGTCAGTTTTCATTTCACTTGTGGATTCATAGAAAAAAAAAAAAAAAAAACCCAAAACCAAAACAACCAGAGTCCCATACCACAAGCACTGTTTTCAGTGCTGAAGATACTTTTTTTTGAAAAGAGGAAGACAATAAACATAAACACATGTGCTGGATAATAATAATGCTATTAAAAATAATGCAAAATAAATGGACAGGGGCAAGAATGAATTTTTTTTTGTTCTTCTGGGCAGCACTACGGAGTGAACCCAGAAGTGCTCTATTACCAAGTCATTCCTCAGCCTACCATTTATATTCTACCAATTAGCAGATCCTTTGTTTTTAGACGCTTTCGCCAACAGTACAGTCTCTCAAAGTCCCTGTGTGTTGAAGGGGTTCTCAGGTCTACCATCTGCTGCCAAAGGTCCAAGACCAAATCCCTCCTCCCACCTGGGAATTAAAATCGAAACACCCTGGCTATCAGAAACAGCAACAACTGCCCATCCCCTGCAACTCACAGCAAAAGAAGCATCCTCTTGACTCTAAATGAAAATATATCTATTTCTTTTTATTCCATGTTTTTAGATGTTTGACAGTGGGAGTCTTCAACCTCATACTTACCAATATTGCATTTCCAAGGCCCCGAAGGTGAGTTTAATTAGAAATTAGAATTACAAAGTCTATTAAATAGCTGGGTGTGTGGTGCACACCTGTAATCCCAGCGCCTGGGAGGCTGAGATAGGAGGATCAATCACTGTGAGTTTGAGGCCAGCCTGGGTTACATAGTAAATTCAAGGCCAGCCTGAGCTACATATTGAGACTCTATCTCAAAAAACCAAACCAAACCAAACCAAACCAACAACAAAAAACTGAATATCCCTAAAAACACAGAATAAAATTTCTGAGTTTTATGGGAATTTTCAAAATGACTTATTCTTTCCCCTGAATTCATTAGCTAGCATACAATAGCAATAGCTAAGTTAATAGCTTAAGAATAGTGTTGGGCAATTCAGTTCTTACTTTATCCAGGTCATAAGTTCCACTGTATCTGGGTCATAAAATTCTTGTAGTTCCGTTAACTCTGTCATTAATCTGGGAAAAAACTAAAATGCAAAACAAAATCCCCAAAAGGTAGTATAAGTAACTAGAAAATGTAAAATTGTCCTAGAGAATTTTAAAAGACTAATTTAAAGCAAATGCTACCACAACACTACTTACAAAGACAAAAATATCATAGACCTCTACTTTCTTATGTGACCTGCTTATTTTTCTCAAGCCAAATAATCTATTTTATGGTTAATTCACTGCCTAGACTCAGTAAGTCATTTTAATATTAACAAACAGTTACCACTTGTATCTTTCATGTACACATATACTTAATAAATACATTTCAGGTCAAGTAATTTGCAGATTTACTGTCAATTAGTTTCATGTTATGTAAGAATAAACCAATGGCCAGGTGTGGTGGCACATGCCTGTAATCCCAGCACTCGGGAGGCTGAGGCAGGAGGATCCTTGCAAGTTCGAGACCAGCCTGGTCAACAAAGTGAGCTCAAGGCCAGCCTGAACTGCACAGCAAGACCCAGTCTCAAAAAGACAAAAGAAAAAGGGGCTGGGGATTTAGCTCACTGGCACAGCACCTGCCTGGCAAGTGCAAGGTTGTGA